AGAGCTAAAGTCTTTCTTTGATAGGATATAATTCTGCCCAAGTTTCTTATAGCGCGAGATGTTCTATAAGTCGAGCTCAAATTATAAGGAAAGGTTAGTCTTGCTTAGTAAATCACAATGAGAGAAAGAACTTAGGTGTTAATCCAAGTTTATTCAAACTCATGCGCTCACTTTGCAAGGCTAAAAGTGAATGAATCTAGCCTGTACAAAGGTGGGCCTATTTATACACAGATTTTCCCGCTTATTATTGCAGGAGAGATTTCATCGAAAATTCGAGAGACATTCGCGAATTTTGAGAAATGATTTTTCTTAATTTACAAGTAAATAACCATTAATATTAAGTTTTTAACACATGTAAATTTTACAGAGTTAATTATTTGTTAATTTTATACAGTATACAATTATCGCCAATAGTGTCGTCAAAAGTTATTAACTAATAAAGTTAATTAACGTGATATTACATTATTTACAATAGACAATTGTTAAAATTTCATATAACCTTAAAGTTGATTAATTTTGGAAGTATTTTCCAAAATTAATTATTTAAATTAATTAATAACATTTGAATTATGACTAATTTTTCATATTTGTAACGGTTTTCTTCTAATCTTAATATGCGATTATTAGATTAATTATCTAAGATTTCTGAATCATAAAATTGTCATTATTAAGTATTAACTTCATATTTTCGTTCTATATATAGCTTATTGTTTAAATAAATTATTAATTGTTTATTTATTAATAACAGTTGTTATTTAGCTGTTATTAATGAAACCAATTCTTACTCATGTTCTATGCTTATTCATTTTACATATAAATTATTTATATTTTTCTAATATTTCATATGTTAATAAATAAATTAACTTTACATATCGATATTCATTATAAATTTATAATTGAATGAGATATTGTGAATCTGTATGTTAAAATCTATATAATTGATACTTTGTTATATTCAAATTATCTATAATTAACATATTTTTCTCAATATTATGGTTCATTATATCTATGTCTATTATTTGTGACGTCACGCTATTTGTTTTGACTCGACTCTTATTTGTATACAGTCGCGTAAACAGTGAGGCAGCGCCGCTTAATGTATTGTTTTGACTAACAGATAAATACGTTAGACTAGTTGCAGTCATTTAATAAACAGCTCATAAGTAGGACCGTTACACCAATATACTCCATAGTAATCAAAATTTCAACGCGTTATATATCATCTGTATATATGAAATTGTTAGATAATTAGTCTTCTTCGCTATCCTCTTCAATAACTGGCATCATGTAGTCTTGCGTAAATATTTGTTTATTCATGGCAGATAGTGCAAGATCCCACCCGTTCGAGCCGCATAACGAATATCTAATACACATCATGGGAAGTAAAATGCCAAGTCCATGGACTGCGCGTCATGTTTCAATTTAATAAGCTATAGCTTTGTAAATTTTTGCCTCCATAGTCATGAATATATTCTTTTTAAAGGTCCTTTAATTATGAAGAGATATCTAGTAATCGCTGCTAGCACTACTACATGGATTAATAAACTTGAGTCGAGAAATTTACGGTTCCGGTTATATAACGTCTGGTCCATGCGCCCGTTTACCTCGTCATTGCGAATATACAGGGTGAGGAAAAAGTATGGAAACCCCGGAAAATTCGGAAAACCGCATAAGATTAGTCATGAAACAAAGGTCATACCCTATGTAACTTTCAACGAGAAACCCAACGGTGACCTCTAATTTGACCTTGACCTCATTATCAATGTTATTTCTAGGCCAACATTATTTTTTCATATGGAAACCCCTATTTTTAATACTGGAATCAGAAAGAGTGATAAATTTTACGGGTGGGAACGAATCAAAGATAGCGTGACCCTTAATCCTCCTTGAAATCATGTATTTTCAAAATCATCACATCTTAACGCCTGGATAGCTGAAAAAATCTGATTTGACAAAAGTTACAGCGTTCTAATTTACCGTGATAAAAAAGAGATCTATTTTTGGATCGCCTACCATTTATGCCCACACGTTCAATATTTGAGGATATTTAGTGTGACCATCTCTCATCCAATGAGGATTTTGTCGTACCAACATCTAAGGTTATGGCGATTGACTTCGCCATTTAATTGACATGTAGCTTTGTCTGAGAAAACAATATTTTTTTTAAAATACAAAAACAGAGTTGATTTTTGCTAGAAAACGAATAAAAAGCAATTTGAAGATCTGTCTTTCTCGTAATTTTTAGAATTTTGAAAAAAGAAGACAAATCTTTTTTCACACTGAACAGTTCATCTGGATCTCATTTTTTTCGCAGTCTTCATCTTTCATTTAAAAAAATAGAAAGTCACTAGTTTGAGCATAAAATATCATTAAAATTGCCAAAAACTGGAAAGTTATTTTTTTTTTCGTCAAAAGTTACGTTTTCTCCTCTTTCATAGACTGTAAAGCTAATTGCTTATTAGTTATACAAAATTATTTTGAAGGCATTTGAAAGAAAGAAAAATTTAAAAATAAAATAGAAGTGCTTTCATAAATAATAATTAAAAATTGTTATCATTTAAATTTAAAAATCTTATTTGTTCTTGACTTCTATTAATTGGAAATTGAAACCATATTTTGTTGTTTTTCATAGTAACTAGGCTCTAGAAAAAAAATACTTGACCAATAAAAAAAAAATTCGACAAATTCGTCAAATATTTCATAGTTTTTTTTTAGTTACAATAACAATATTAAATTTTTTTTTTTTCAAACTTTCAAAATGTTTCGTTTGTCCGAAAGAGAACGAATATCTCTTCTAATGATGATGGGTTGGGGTAATGAGCAAAGGTCATATACTAATGTTGTTAATATCTTTAATAAAACGTTTCGAAACGGCGATGGCGAAACTCCTTTGTCTAAATCCACAGTTTTAAAAACCTTACGACGTTTTCAAGAAACGGGGTCTATTAAAAATCGTTCTATTACTGGAAGACCACGAACAGCAACAATTGAAGAAAAATTTTTAGATGTTTTACTGTCTTTTGTGGAAAATCCACATGAATAATCTCGATCAGTAGCTTTACAACAGGAGATCGATCAAAAATCTGTTCTTAAATAAAGGTAAACAAGTTTCATCCTTATAAAATGAAACTTGTGTAGGAATTGAATGAAGATGATCCTGATCATCGAGTAGAATTTTGAGAGACAATGATACAAATGATTACTGAAAATCCAATATTTTTACAAAATATTGTTTTTTCAGACGAAGCGACATTTCAATTAAATGGCAAAGTCAATCGTTATAACTTTAGATATTGGTCCAACACAAATCCTAATTGGATGAGAGAATGTCACACTTAATATCCTAAAAAATTAAACGAGTGGGCAGGAATAGTAGGCGATACAATAATAGGTCCCTTTTTTATCGAAGGAAATTTGAACGCTGTAAGTTATGAACAACTTTATAACGGGGATTCTGCTACCCCGTTAAGGGTGATGCTAAGTGGCTACTCGGCTTGCGGGTATTCGTTACGGGGAACATGCGAGGTTCAGCCCAGCGGCTCAGATATGCCCCTCGAAGGCACCCTTGCCTACGGCCCGCGGAGAGCGTCGTAGGTCAGGTAGCAGCGGACGGTGCAAGTCGGCGTGCGCGTAACACAGGGGGGGAGGAAGTGCCAAGAGGAACGACGCAACGGTTAGCAAAAAGAGTATTTATTAAGACGGAGATAACAAAGGAAGCGTACAAATAGCATTCGCAGTGAGAGAGACAAGCGAGAAGCAAGCGAGAGAGTCTTAAGATCGAACGGGCACTTACATGACGGGTTCACAGTGGCTTCGGAATTAGACTTGACACGCGCAGGTGTTCAGCTTCGAGGCAGCCCTCTCAGGCTGACCGGCTAAGATCGGCGAGCACGCACGCACGCACGCACACACTCTGCAACCTTTGTCTTGATCGGCAGGAAAAACCCGAGCTACGAAGCACAAAGCACCGCTTTCTCGCTGTGATCGCCCAACTTCTTCCTTTCGCGGAGGCCGGCAGCCGAATCTGCCTCGCACGCGGACGCGGTCCCCCTCTCCCGCGCTAGCTATTCGGCGGCGGCGCGTCTTAGCCAATTAGGCAGTGTGCGCGACACTCGGGCGTCCACGCTTACGCGCGTACACGCGGATCTCTCTCTCTACCCGGTGCTCTGTGACTTACCTCGTGCCGTGTCCACAGCTGCGGCGAGGCTAAAATACATAAAGAAAAGAATACATGGGTTATCAGTGAATTACGATTAACTTAAGGGGAGAGAGAGACATAACGAGCCTCGGCTCGTTATATTCCCCTTCCCCAGACGCTGGTAGCGGGGTTGGTACCAGCTCGACCCACTCTCTCTCTCGACCAGGTAATAAGTGCAATCAATGTGTAGGAGAATACGTTCTTTATTAGGAAGGTGAAACAGATTACAGCATGAAAATACAATTTTTGAGGAGAGGTAGCTTCGAGGCTTTGTCTCTCTTTACAATTTCAGATGAATAAGAGTGAATCTTTAAAACAAAAAGGGGCGTCGGTGCCTATACAAACAAAAAAAGCAAAACGAAACACAATCCCGCCTTGGGATGCTTTGAAGCGACAGTAAGGAAAAGAACAAGGGGGGGGGCACTGGAGCGGCGAGAGCGCTGACAGGCCGGCAGGCTAATCGCGCCGCCGTTCTTCATTCCCTGGTAGAGCTTCCGCGCCGTCCCGGGGTCGGTACCGGGCTGCAGGCCTCCGGATACTCGTATTTCGGGTACCTCCCGTTCCGGAACAGCTGGTGCAGGTCGTAGTTGGGGCAGTTGTCCGTTCTGGACACTTGGGTCAGGTTGCACACCCAACAGTACCTCTTGTACCGGAGGTCGACCCTTGGGCCATCGAATCTGCCGCATGGCTCGGTGGCTCCCTGGTACTGCAGCGCGGTCGGCCCTGGCCCGCGACGGGGCAGCTCCGCCGAAAGCAGCCTTGGGGCGTTTTGGCGCTCCTGCTCCACAGCGGCCAGTTCCGCTCAGAGGGCCTCCAGCTCTTGTAGCTTTTGCCGCTGAAGGGCCATTAGGTCCGCCCTGGTCTTGTCGACCTCTTCGTTAGCCACGAATGGGGCCTCTGCAGCGTCCAGGTAGTCGCGCAGCTTGGTGGCTCTCTTGACCCGCTGCAGGAACTCCTGGGGCACCAAGGCTCTGGCACGAGCGTCGGGGTGGTCGGCGAAGGCTAATACCTCCCAGTAGGCCTGTTTTTCCTCTTTAGCTGCCTGCTGGCGAGTCTTGCGCCATTGCCTAGCCCGGCTTTCGAGCTGCGCTCACTGGGTTTCCAAGGGGAGGTCTGAGGGCTCTGAATCCTCAGTTTGCGAAGGCTTGGCGGGCGGCGCCGTAATGGCTGGCAGTACCGGCGGGTGCCTAGTGGCTTCGTTTGGGGCGCCCTCGGGCCGTCCGAACGGGAGCACGTCGGTCACTTTCTGGGCTGCGGCCTGGGCGGCATCCGGGGCCGGCAATGCCGCGAGGGCAGCAGATGGTAGCTGCGCAGCGATGTGGAGGAGGCTGGTCTCCCCCAGTAGCTACGTCAGGCTCACTCCCGATGGACTGGGAGGAACGGAGGAGGCGTGTGCCTCGAGGATCTGGCCGATGAGTTGCTGCATCCTGCGAAGCTCTTCCACGGGCACGTCGAGCCTGACCGTTCTATCGGTCCTCGCTGGCAGCATTCTCGTAGAGTTCTGGGGGTATATGAGTAAGGTTATATGAGGAGCGATACTCAAGATGAGTTGTCGTCCAAGCGGGTTAGCAGCAGAAGGCGACTGAGATAAGCAGCTGGTTAGCGAAGCAAGCTGATTAGCGAAGCAAGCTGGTTAGCGGAGGAGCGAAGGTAAGAAAGGAGGCACTCCATGAACGTAAGGGCCGCGAAGGGTGGCTGGTTAAGCGCGCGGTCCGCCCGCTCGGGTGTTCTTTGGGCGCAGGCGTCTCGGTGACGTTTCTACCGGCGGCGGAGCGCTCTTTTTCGAGCCGGGCGGCCTACCCCTTTTTCGAGGGGGCCGCCCCTTTTGCGTTAGCTCCAGCTTGGTGGCGTCCTGGCTGTGTAGCGGTTGAGGCAACGTTTCGCACGCGGGAGCTTGATCGCCCGAAAACTTGGGTTCGTCGCTATCAGGAGCCATCTCTTGCTCCCCGTCCGAGGCTAGTTGGTCTTCACACCCGCTCTTCTCCGGGAACTGCTCCGCGTCGTGGCAGGGTTTCAGGTCGCACACAGCCACTTTACCTACGTCGACTCCGCTTTCGATTTGAAGCTGGTAAGAATTCGGCCCTAATCGAGCGGTGACAACAAATGGTCCCGCATACTTGGGACAGAGCTTCGCGGCGATAGCCCGGGCAGCCGAGGAAAGCACGCGATTTTTCGCCCATACCTTGTCGCCAACGTCATAGCGAACGTCGCGGTGTCCCTTATTGTAGTATTTCTCTTGGCGGGCTTGTGCAGCTTGGGAGCTTTCTGAGGCATGCACGTGGAGCTTGCCGAGATTTCCCATCTTTGCCTGCCAGCTCCCGAGCGCGGCGGCCTCCTGTCTCCGCGTGGCCTCAAGCGTTTCTTCGCGCCTCGCCGTGTGGGGCGGCTCTGGGTTCCGCCCATAATTCAGGAACGCCGGGCTAGAGCGAATCGCCTTGTGGATGGCCGTATTGTACGCGAAAGCGAATTCTGCGATATGTTCGTCCCACTTAGTGTGTTTTTCTTGAATAAATGCCGCCATCATCGTCTTTACGGTCCAGTTCACGCGCTCCGTTGGATTAGATTTCGGAGAGTAGGGCGCGCACGTCGCATGATAAACGTCCACGAGCTTGTTCTTGAAGGGCGTGCCATTATCCGACAAGAATTTCTCGGGGACGCCAAATCGCAAGAAAACTCGCTGATTTAGCTCTCTCTTGATGGTCTTGCCGTTCGCCTTTCGTATGGGGATGCACTCAATCCACCGGGTGAACATGTCCATGAAAATCAGCAGGTACTCGTGGCCTTGTGGCGATTTCGGGAACGGACCCATCGAGTCTCCGCAAACTATTTCCCATGGCCGTGAAACTACATGCTTCCCCATTAGTCCCGCCGGGGCCACCTGCTCGACTTTCACCTGTTGGCACACGTGACAGTTGCACACGAAATGAGCTACATCCCTATAAATGTTTGGTCAGTAATAGCGCAGGATCGCCCTCTGGTGAGTCTTGTAACGGCCGAGATGTCCCGCCGTCGGCTCGTCATGGCATTCTACGAGGACCAGTCCAGGTCGCTCCCGCGGTACCACCAGCTTCCAAGCTTCGTCGTCTCGCCCCATCACGTCGTCAATGACCGAGTCGGGGCGGCACACATACAGGCATCCCCCAATGACCTTCCAATACGGGTGGGCCCTTGGGTCGGCCAGGACCTTCTTAATCTTATTCCGGTACCAAGGGTCCTTCGTGCCTTCCCCAACGCTGAGAGAAGCCGTGGCGGCTATCGCGTCTTCGTTTGTCTCGTACATGCGGGACAGTGCGTCCGGCACTACATTATCCTTGCCGCTCCGATGCACGATGTCGAAGTCGTAGGCTTGCAGACGCAAGGACCAGCGACCTAACTTCCCGTTGGGGCTCCGCAAGTTTCGCAGCCACACCAGGCTGTAGTGGTCTGTCACCACCGTGAAATGGTAACCCTAGATGTAAGGTCGGAACTTCTCGATCGACCAGATTACAGCGAGGCACTCTCTCTCTCTGTCACTAATAACCTTCGCTCTGGAGCAGTCAGAGCTCGACTCGCGAAACAGAGTATACGATCCGCTCCCTCGACGTGTTGTAAAAGGACGCTGCCCAGCCCCGTGTCGCTAGCATCACATTCAACGATGAATGGAGCGGAGAAGTCTGGCCTTGCGAGCACCGGTGCGGAGGCCAGCAAAGCTTTCACCTGCTCAAAAGCTGCCTCCTGCTTCGCTGTCCACGTGTACTTGCAATCTTTGCGGGTGAGTGCGGTGAGCGGCTCACTCAAGGAAGCGTAGCCCTCTAGGAACTTCCTGTACCAAGAAGCCATCCCTAGAAAACGTCTCAGCTGCTTCAGGTTTCTCGGCGCGGGGTACTCAAGGATTGGCCGGACTCTCTCTGGGTCGGGACGACAACCATCGCGGTTCACCAACAAGCCAAGGTCTCGCACTTCTATCATGCAAATCTTCGACTTTTTTCGGTTTATCGTTAGGCCCGCCTCGTTTAGCCGCTTTACGATACACGTCAACCACTTAATGTGCTCTGAGAAGGTTTCCGTTGCGATAAGGAGGTCGTCCAAATACGCAAAAGCGTAGGGCTCCATCTCAGGTGTTATGATTTTGTCGGCCAGCATCTGTAATGTTGCGGGCCCGCCCGACAGGCCATAGGGCATCCTAACAAACTCGAACAAGCCGAGTCCTGGGACGGTGAACGCGGTGATTGGTATACGAGGTGTGATCAAAAAGTAAGGTGAATTTTGAAATTTAGCGGGCTACGTCCGTTCGATCTTCGACTTTTTTATTTGGTTATGTCGGTACACTCGTCTAGAACATACGTTCCAAATTTCAGCTTTGTAGTATGTTTGGTTTGTTTGTGAGAGGCATCAAGGTTAGAAGTGTTTTGCGTGCTCCACGATTTGCTGCTGTCTAAAAACATGGATCAAAGAGTTTGCATTAAATTTTGTGTGAAAAATGGAATCAAATGTTCCAAAACACTTGAAATGCTGAAAGTGGCATACGGTGAGTCTACTTTAAGCCAAAAAAATTTTTACAAGTGGTATAAGCTCTTCCAAGAAGGCCGAGAAGACACCGACGACGAACCTCGTTCTGGATGCCCCAGCACATCAACAACTGATGAGAATGTTGAAGAAGTGAAGAAAATAGTGTTGGGAAATCGTCGAATTACCATTAGAGAAATTGCTGATGATATTGGCATCTCATTTGGTTCGTGCCAATCAATTTTGACGAGTGTTTTAGACATGAGACGTGTGTCAGCGAAGTTTGTTCCGAAATTGCTCAATTTCGACCAAAAGAAACGTCGCATGAGCATCACCCGAGAGCTACTGAATGACGTCAACGATGATCCAGATTTACTCAACAGGGTTATAACAGGTGACGAAACATGGGTATATGGTTATGACGTCGAGACTAGGACTCAATCGTCCCAGTGGAGGCATTCTGGATCACCAAGACCAAAAAAAGCACGCCAAGTTCGATCAAATGTAAAGGTTTTGCTTACAGTTTTCTTTGACTGCAGGGGCGTGGTGTATCATGAGTTCTTGACACAGGGTAGAACAGTAAATAAGGAATATTACCTGCAAGTTATGCGCAATTTGCGCGAAGCAATCCGCCAAAAACGTCCGAATTTGTGGAAAAATAAAAATTGGCTTTTGCACCATGATAACGCCCCTGCTCACACATCGTTGCTTGTGCGCGAATTTTTGGCTAAAACCAACACAGTAACGATGCCACAGGCACCGTATTCCCCAGATCTGGCCCCCTGTGACTTCTTCTTGTTCCCAAAACTGAAGAGGCCCATGAAACGACGGCGTTTTGCCACGATTGAGGAGATAAAGACGGCATCGAAGGATGAACTAAACAAGATCACAAAAAATGATTTTTTGAAATGCTTTGAGGATTGGAAAAAGCGTTGGCACAAGTGCATTATATCCGAGGGGGATTACTTTGAAGGAGATAAAATAAAAATTGATGAATAAATAAATATTTTTTGAGAAAAATAAAAATTCACCTTACTTTTTGATCACACCTCGTAGACCTCTCTGTAAGAGGGATCTGCCAAAAAGCTCCGGAGCAATCTAACGCGCTTATGAACTTGGCGTGTTGGATCTTCCGCAGTATCACGTCCATATAAGGCAGCGGATACGCGGGGACTCTCGTCTGCGCGTTCACCTTCCTGTAATCTATGCAGAAACGGTAAGTGCCGTCTTGTTTCGGGGTCATGACGATGGGGCTCGACCACTCACTTTTCGACTTCCGGATGATTCCCATGCGCAGCATCTTCTGCACCTGCTCGTGCATCTCGTCCTCAATCTTCTTTGATACGGGGTAGTACCGTTGCTTGATAGGATGTGCGCATTTCAAGTCGATATCGTGCTTGATCCAGCTCGTACAGCCAAGCTGTTCACAGGGTGGATCGGGTAGCAAACTGTGCATTAGCTCGTCGATTTCTCTGCGCTGACTTTCGGTAATTTCCTTTATACCGAGCGAGGCCAGTGAGATGAGTTCCTCAGCCCGCATTGAAGAAAGCGCGGCCGGGATTGGCTCGTCACAGCCCTTGACCTTCAGCGTGTTCGCCTCCGGGTCGAGCATCGCTGAAAAAGCGCGGGTGAAGTCGGCACCTAAAGTGCACTCTGTGTCGACTTCGGACAGGATCAGAACATCGAGTCAATCCGTTAGCCCCCCTAAAGTGAAAGGTAGGCTTACGTTGCCCAAAACTGGCACGTAGTGTCCATCGACGGCTTTTGCCCCGGGGCCTACGTACGGATGCACTCGGCGGTTAAGCGTCGAGGCGATTTGTAACGCGTTTGAGCCGAGGACAGTGCGGGAAGCTTTGGTGTCGTACAGCCCCCTAAATGGATAGCCGTCGACGTCTACCGTCAGCCACCACCGGGGTGACTTTTCCACGACGGCGCTGACTACAGTTCCTCCATCGCATGGCGACTGCGCGTCGGTCGGATTACTCGAGGCTAGCATGGAGTCGTCCGCCGGGCTGCGAAGCGCCTGCGCTACTCCTGTAACGCCGTCCGTAGCGAAGGTCCGGTCTTCCCGAGGAGCGGTAGGGACCCCTACTACGCGCTCCCCCTCTCGTTTTTTGGCTCTGCTAGTTTGACTGAGCACTCCGGGCAGGAGAACCGGGTATGGCCGGGCCAGCTGCAGTTCCAGCAGAGAACTTTGTCGCCACTGGGGCCAATTTCTTTGTCCTTATTCTTGTCGGACTTTGGGGTGACGATCTGGGCTTGATTGCCTCCGGGACGGCCACCGCTTCTGCCTCCACGGTTTCCACATTTCCCGCCTCGGCCACCGCCTAGCGGTCCTCTGGACGCTGCGCCGGCCTCGGCCTTTGCCGCCGCCTGAGCACCCTGCTAGGGCTTTGCTGCAGCACCTTGGCTTCGGGTCGACGACGTCTGGGCTGTTGCCCCGCTGGTCGGCTTGAGTTTTTGCTCCAAGAATTCCCTGAGGCACGCTTCCCAGTTCAGCTCCGCAGCATGTTCGCTGACCGAGGCAATGCCGGTTGGCTTTATCCTGGCCGCCCTCGACCTGGGCTTATAAGCCGCTTCTGGCAGCATACTTTGTTCCGCCGGAGGAGGGGGTCTCCATTGGCCTACCTCATCGTCCTCTGCTTCTTGAGCTCTTTCCAGCAGCTCTTGAAAGTCGGTCAGGCTATCTTTGCACCGCTTTAGTCGTCGTTGCAGCCGTGGAAGCATATTATCTATGACCAGGTTCACTTGGTCCTGTGCCTCCCAAGGCTCCTCGAACCGGGCGAGAATGGTGAGAAGAGAGACGACGTAATCTATCACGGGCTCATCTTCCCCCTGAGTGCGCAGGTGAGCTTCCACGATCAGGCTCCTTCTGTTCCTTTTCGTCTTGCTGTACGTCTTGAGTGCCGCGTCCTTGAATTCTTGTTACGTTTTCCATGCGGGCCTCAAAGCTCGAAACCAGAACAGCGCAGGCTTCTCGAACAGCGGCGTCATCGAGTCCAGCAGTTCGTCTTCCGTAACTCGGTCTAGCCGGCGATTCTCCTCTACCTGCTCCAGGAACTCCTCAATACTAACTCCTTTTTCGCCCGAGAATTTTATCTTCCACTCCCGGACCGTCTTTCCGAGGTGCTTGCTCATAAAGCGCGACATCTCCATCGTGTTAAGAGTGTGAGGCGAGGGCCCCCCCCCCCCCCCCCCGTGCTGTGGCTTACTGCCTGTCTCGACACCGGGAGCGCGAGCGAATCGTCCGCCGTCTTTGGCGCAACCCCCCTCCCCCAGCTTGAGCTTGCGGGGATAAAATGGCCAAACGGCAGTGAGTGCGTACTTGCCACTATAGTTGCCATTTGCGGCCTCTCGTACTGATTTTGCGTGGACGGTCTCGTGGTTGAGTGAAATATCGGCGCTTGTGGGTTCAGTGTTGAGGGCGACGGTCGTATCGAGCCATCTAACTGGCTTGACAGCTCGTAGTAGTTCAAATGGAACGTGTCCTGGAAATGAACTCCTTTGCTCGATCGTGTCGCGTTCCAACGCGCTTGGTTTTCGGCCGTCTGCTGTTGAGCGTTAGCGACTACGCTTTTCATTTGCGCCTGTAGATCGCTGTTTACTCGCTCTGCGTTGTTTTTTTCCGATCGTAATGTGGCTTTGGTTTGCAGTAGTTCCTCTATTCGTTTTTCTTGTTTTGTATTACGCAGCATTAATTCTTGCATTTCTGCTTGCTGCGTAGCCCAGAGGTCTTTCAAATTTTCTTTTAAAACACGTGTCTGGAACTCTGCTTGCCACGCTCGTTTTAGCTCTGCAGCTGCCGCCGTACTCAGCTAGTGTTCGCTTTGATCGGGGAACATTACGCGCATTGTTCGGTTTGTAGCTGGAAAAGCGATCGGTTCGACTGTCGGCGTGACGTAATGTTGTGCAGTATACGTCTCGCTGCTATGCTTTAAGCTCATTGCGCTTGCTGTAACCTGAGGCTCCGATTGCATGCTGGAGGTCACGATCGGCTCGTTCTGTGTGACGTTCGGTGAGTTTAAGAGATGGTTAGGTTTCCAGCTTTCGTTGACTGGCGTCTGCGCGTGAGCTTTGTTTTGAACAATCGGTGCTATTTGCGGGTTCTCTTCTAACGTGAGCGACATGTCGATCGGCCCTGCGGCTCCTTGTGGCGAGCTTGTCGCGAAGCCTGGTTGCTCTTTGTCGTCTTCTTTCTCGTCGTTGGCGCCTAGTGTCATTTCTGCCTCTAGCGCCGTACGAATATCGTCGAGTACATCGTACGGTAGGAATTCTGACTGGAAGAAGGTGCATGCTAAATCGTTTCGCCTTTCTTCCGCTAGTGTTGGATTATCGAAGCGCGTTTGTATGAAGTCGCTTCCGGTGTAGTCGCCGTTTAATCGTCGGTACAATCTGTTACCTCTTTCGTATATCGAACCGTCGTTTCGCAGCTCTAAACGGTTTAACGCGTCTGCCATTACATCGCTTGGCAGCCCTTGAATCCATGAGTTTAAACGAGTATTGATGTTGTCTTTGAAAATTGTTAAGTTTTCGATTGTCCAGCTGTCGATCGGCGAGCACGCACGCACGCACGCACGCACACACTCTGCACCCTTTGTCTTGATCGGCAGGAAAAACCCGAGCTATGAAGCACAAAGCACCGCTTTCTCGCTGTGATCGCCCAACTTCTTCCTTTCGCGGAGGCCGGCAGTCGAATCTGCCTCGCACGCGGACGCGGTCCCCCTCTCCCGCGCTAGCTATTCGGCGGCGGCGCGTCTTAGCCAATTAGGCAGTGTGCGCGACACTCGGGCGTCCACACTTACGTGCGTACACGCGGATCTCTCTCTCTCTACTCGGTGCTCTCTGACTTACCTCGTGCCGTGTCCACAGTTGCGGCAAAAATACATAAAGAAAAGAATACATGGGTTATCAGTGAATTACGATTAACTTAAGGGGAGAGAGAGACAGAACGAGCCTCGGCTCGTTATAACTTTTACGAAATCAAATTGTTCCAGCTGTCTAGGATTTAAGAGGTCATGATTTTGAAAATACATGGTTTCAGCAAGATGGTGCTCCAGCTCATTATGGTTTAAATGTCAGACAATACCTGAATAAAACATTTTTTGATAGATGGATAGGTGGAAGAGGTATAGTAGAATGGGCTCCTATATCTCCAGATTTAAGGGGTAACACCTATGTACAGCCCTGTTTTTTAAGGTCATTTTTGGAATTTTATTTCAAAGAAACTATATTATATGCAAAATCTGATTAAATCGCTTTATTGTACATGTTTTTAGGTATAAAAATTAATTTTTACAGAGTATTCAAAAACAAAATGGCGCCTATACAATTATAAGCGTCCATGGTATTTTGAAAGAGACCTCCACGGATCCCACTTTTTCGTCACTACGGTTCATCTGAAACACAAATACGAAGTTTCTTCTTAATACATGGACTAAAAGTAAGAGAAATACATAGGGGTATTTTAAAATATCAAATTTTAATAAATTGGCAGAAGTTCGAAATTTTTTTTTATTTTTCGTATAATAAAAGGATGAAAAATCGTCATAAAACAAACAGTTTTCAAATTATCAACAAAATCCTACGTATTTCCCAAGAAAATAATGTTGTAAAGCCTCTGTCAGTTTCAAATCGATCGGATGAAAATTGGCAGCATAATTGAGGGAGCCGTGTCAAAAAAGTGGTTTCGAGAAAAACGCGAGTAAAGTTTGACAATGGAAAAAATCGTATATAACATTGAAATAATTAACTTTTAACGGATTTTACTTTTAGTCTGCGATACCAGCACCATAAGTTTGTCCTTCCAAGTCGGTATGCCCTTGCTGTGATATTCTTCTCGATGATTTCAAAGCTGCTAAGGTACATCAGAGGTCAGTAAGTCTTTCGGAGCGAAGGGCTCGCCGCGCGAGCTCGACCGCGCTCTGGAATACCTGGCGTTTAATGCTCATAACTCGGAGAAATAATTTATTTTCGTAAAACCATTTGTGGACGTTGTTTTTAAGACCTTTCTCTACCATTTTAGCTTGAAAAAAAATTTATTTTTTGAAGTGAGAGGCAAGGAGAACTCACTATAAAAAAGCACCCCGAAGGGAACAGATTCCGTCCACGTTCACGTCGTTGTTCTAGATAGCGCTAAAAGGAGGAGTTCTCATATGAAAAAATAAGATTTACCTTGAAATAACCTTAAAAATGAGGGTCAAGGTCAAATCAGAGGTCACCGTTGAGTTCCTCGTTGAAAGTTACATAGGGTAGGACCTTTGTTTCGTGACTAACCTCATGCGGTTTTCCGAATTTTCCGGGTTTCCATACTTTTTCCTCACCCTGAATATCGACTTATTATCATCAGAATGGCATTTTACATATAATTTAATACTAAAGGCTTCATGTTCTTGGAAACTATATCTCTTAACATGAGATTTCTATTCGGATCTTCTATAGGTTTTAACAGACATTCAAAATCGGCGAATATAATAAATGGAACTTCCTCTTTATACTTAAAATTTTTAAATTCTAAAGTAACATCGCCAGGTAAATTAATCCGACACTTATTTATTTTGTGTTTGTTTGGAACAGTCAACTTCATGAGATTTCAAAATTTCCTCGTTAGTAAAA